CCCACCCGGCTGATTAGCATGGAGACCCCCCCACACCACTCACATCGCCCGCTGTGGGTCTCAGTTCCCTCACTGACCGCTGGGAACCACCCCCCAACAAACAATGACCAGCGGGACCCCTCCCCGATCACTCTGTGTGTGTGTGTGACCCCCACAGGCCCCCCGACTACTGAGGGACCCCATGAACGCACACAGACCCGCGTGGGTCTCGCCCTGCCCCCACCACCTGCTGTGGGACCTCTCCCGGGGCCTCACGCACCCTGACCGGCCTTCCACCTCCCACCACTCCGCTGGGGCGGCCCCACACCCCCACGGACCTGCGTGGACCCCCTCAAACACACACTGACCATTATATCCCCACAACACTGACCACTGTGACCCCACCACACTGACCAGACTGCGTGGGCCTCCCTCTGACCGCACTATGGGAGGTCCCACAAACCCACACTGACCGTTAACCCCCACACTGACCGGTGCCGCCCCCCGCCCCCCCCCTCACCGCCGGCGGACGGCGGGACCCCGATCCCCGCAGGCGCTCCTCCTCCCCGCCGCCGCAGCGGGTATCCCCACACCCCCGCCCGCCCCGGGAGCCCGTCCCCGGCCGGTACCTGCACATTCTCCCGGCCCGCCCGGGCCCCCGGCCCCGCTCAGCGCTGCCCAAGGCCCCGCGGCCGTTGCGGCCTCCCAGGCGGGGGCGGCGCTGGCCCCGCCCCGGCCGGAAGTGACGCCATCGCCCCGCGCCCGTTGCTATGGGAACGGCGCGGCCACCCTGAGGCCTCATGGCGGGGACAGGGCCCGGACCCTCCTCAGTCACTGCGTCCAAATGGGGCTGGAAGGGACCTCTGGAGATCATCCAGTCCAAMCCCCTGCCAAGGCAGGGTCACCTGGAGCAGGTGGGTTTGGGATGTCTCCAGAGAAAGAGACTCCACCGCCTCCGTGGGCAGCTGCTCCAGTGCTCCCTCAGTGTAAAGTCCTTCCTCATTTTGAGGTGGGAGCTCTGGTTTAGTTGATGGCCACTGCTCCACTGAAAGGAGTCTGGCACCATCCTCTGACACCCACGTTGGAGATATTTATATGGATTGGTGAGATCCCCTCTCAGTTTTCCCTGGACTAACCAGGCCCAGCTCCTGCAGCCTCTCTTCATTAGAGATGCTCCAGACCCCAAATCATCTTCATGGCCTCTGCTGGACCTTCTCCAGTAGCTTCTTGGCCTTCTTGTCCTGAGGAGCCTGAAGTGGACACAGCACCCCAGGGTGCCTCACTGGGGCTGAGGAGAGGGGCAGGATCCCTGTCCTGCCGGCCACACCTTCCCAATGCCCCCCAGGGTCCCATTGTCCCTCCTGGCCCAGGGACAGCTTGTCATCCACCAGGACCCCCAGATCCTCTCCTGTGGGTGACCCCCAGCCTGTGCTGGTACTTGGGGTAATCCCTCCCAGGTGCATGACCCTGCACTTGGCCTTGTTSAACCTCCTTAGGTTTCCCCCACCCACCTCTCACCCAGCCTCTGAATGGCAGCACAGCCTTCAGCTGGATTAGTCGCTCCCCCAGCCTGAATCATCATGAAACCCGATCAGAATCCATTCTACCCCTTCATCAGGTCGTTGCTAAAGAAACTGAGCAAGGCTGGACCTGGTCCTGATCCCTGGGGACGGTGCTGCCCAGGGCTCTCAAAGTGGACTCTGCTGTGCTGATCAGGCCCCTCTGAGCCCCGCATTCAGCCATTCTCCCTCCTGCATCCATCCGTCCATCCATCCGTCCATCCATCCATCCATCCATCCACCCATCCCACATTTCCTGAGCTCACCTACGAGGGTATCATGGCAAACAGGCTCCAAAGCCTTGCTGCAGTCAGCCCTGGCGCCAAACACTACCCGAGTGCCCCCACCATGGATATGGAGGGGAGGAGGCATTTGGGACCTGTCCCAACCCCCTTCCCCTGCCCCGTGGGGATCCCACTCCAGCCCCATGGAGGTGACAGTGGCCAAGAGGGAACCCAGGAGAACCTCAGAGCTCCCCAAACCCCAGCCAGAGCTTCCTACTCAGCCAGAAGGGAATAATCCCAGATTTGGAGAATTGTCAGGGTTGAAGCGACCTCTGGARATCATCCASTCCAACCCCTGGTGGATTTGAGATCCTGGGGGTGTAGGAGCAGGGTGCTCTGATCCCCTGCCAATACCAGATACTGTTAATGATAATCCACCGGGAAACTGAGGCACTGAGTCCCAGAGCCACCCCAAAAGAGCCCAGAGCTGAGAGGTGCCCCCACAGACATCCCTGCCTGTAACAGAGCACCCACAGCATCCAAGCAAACTAGACTGTGTTGTATTTACACTCATGGTCAGGGAGGAAGGAACAGGGAAAAGGGCAGTGCTGGAGAAGCAGGTGGCTGTGGGCTTTCCCAACAGATCCACKGGAGCTGCTGCACTTCCTCAGGGCTGGTGGCTGCAATTCCTGCTTCCCCTGAGAGCGAGGGATCACCCTCAGCCAAAAGTTCAGTGGCAAACCCAGCCTGGCCACAYACCAGCTCCAAACTGAGGGCCCCAGCATGCCCAGGGGTGACACGTGCAGCCACTGGCATGCTCCAGACAAAATGTCAACGTTATCCAGAAGGAAAAACCTGAGGAAAAGGCTGGCAAGAGGCAGCCTCGCTCCTCTCTGTGCTGGAGTGGGGTTTGCATCGGTTTGGGAGGTCTGGATGCTCCCGGTGACACCACAGGATGGCAGCTGGCACAAGCAMACACTGCTTTGGCTGGATCACACTGGAACAACCAAACACTCAGAAGGATCCCCCCACCTGCACTGGAGCAGAACTGCCACCAGCAGGGCAGGAAAACAGCCCTTGGAAGGAAGGAGCTGCTGCAGGCCCTTTGGCTCTGCTCTCTGACACCAAGGGAAACGCTTCCAAAGCATGGGATGGCCAGCAGTGGGACAGAAGCTGCTGCTTCTCCTCTGGGACACATCCAGGTTTCTCTGCTCATGAGAGGCAGAGCCCCGTGGCCACAACCTTGCTCCTGGTGCTTCCAGGGACCCCAGGAACTGCTGCATCCCCGAGCCCCGGCTCTTCCCTACGGAGCCCTCCAGGTGCTTTCTGGAGTGGTACTGAGATGGCATGTGGCTTTTCCTACACCTCCCTTCATGTGTGTGAGTGTGTGCATCCCCAGAGCCTTCCAGGTGTCTTTTGGGGTGCTCGAGGCCTSTGAGCATGGTCACCATACCCCAGAAGTTGTCCTTCTGCCTTCCCTTGCACCCCGGAGCCCTCCCTGGGCCTTCCAGCACCTCGGGGAATTCTATGAGTCTCCCACTGGACCCAGAGCCCTCCAAGCACCGCTGCCTGGGACTCTCCATGGGTGTTTCTGAGCCCCCACCTGCACTTCTGGGCACCCTTGGGACCCTCCTGGTGACTTTCCTTATGCCCCAGTTCCCTCTGTCTGGCTTGCAGAGCATATCCAGGGGAACTGGACCTGCCTCTCATCCCACGGGAGGGAGGAGGCAGAGAGGGCAGCTGGGTGGACTCCTCGAGCTCTCCCCAATACCAGCATGGCCCACGAGGAGGAGGGGACCCCACTGTCACCTGGATGCAGGGACAGGTCCAGAAGCAGAGGTGTGGGGACCTGAGCTTTGTGCACAACCCTGATGAGAGCGACTTGTGTAAGGCAGAAGGCAGGGAGAGAGGAGGGAGAGGGGAGGGAGAGGGAGGGGAAAGAAGGGAGAGGGAAGAGAGGAGGCACAGGCAGCGCTGAGGGACACACACCTTGCTGGGAAAGCAGCCGGGGTTATCCAGGGGTGCTGAAGCAGGAGGCTGGAGCAGGGGTGTCCCTGCTTCCCTCCCTGCAGGCAGAGGCACAAGGCAGCGAGCAGAACCTCCCAGAAGGTCCTGCCCTGCCCACATCACTTCAAGCYACAAAATAACACCCCTGTGCCAGCATCACTGCTCAACCCCCTTGGTGCTTCTCCAACGGCGTCACTGAGGGCGGGGAGGGGGAATCTGGGGTGTTGGAACTACGGAATCAACTTTTCTGCATCTGAGAGCAAACACTTCCCGGGGAGCAGACGGCAGCCAGGCTGCCAGGATCCCCCAGCTCCCGGGTTTACAAGCGGTGGGGCAAAGGGAACAGGGTCCAGCAGCTGCTCAGGGACTCCGGCCACAAGTCCTGGGTGGTTYGCAGGACTCGGAGCTGCTGGGAAGGGAAAGGCTGCCCGGCAGAGCCCGGCCGCTCACACCGTGCAAACCGGCCGGCAAGAGGCGAGTCCGAAGGTCTTGGCGCTGGAGCAGCGGGGCAGGACGGTCCCTTTTCCTTTGGGAAGCTGGTTGAGAACACATCAGCTGAGCTGTGGCTGTCGGACAGGCAGGGAGGGAGAGGAGGAACACCGACTGACTGCCAGAGGGGTGCGAGGAGTCCCCATGTCCAGGTGCCGGTTCGTGTGCGCTGCCGGAGTCACCCTCACACCGTGGCAGGGGCTGGGAGGAGGAGGAGGAAGGCTGGGAGGAAGGGGAGGAGCACCAGGCCGCCTGGCTGCAGTTCGAGCTGCTCAGACCCCTTCACAACTTCTGGATCTTCTCGGCGATAACGATGGGGTTTTCCTTGCGGATCTTCTCGGCAGCTTCTGCCTTGTAGTCGTAGGGGCAGGCGTGCATGTCGGAGTACCGGTGAATGGCACAGAACAGGTTCCCACAGCGGCAGTCGAAGCCTGAGGGGAGGAAGAGCAGGGACAAAGCYACATCAGGCCCCATCCAGCCGGGCAGGAAGGCGGCAGGGCCTCGCTCCTTCCTGCCACGCCAGGAAATGCCACCAATGCAGACAGAGGGGCAGAGGCGGGGGCTGCTGTCCCTCACAGGCCAAAGGGATTCTTCATTTGGGGAAGACCATGGGTGGCTCAGCAGCTCCGCGTGCTTTGGGCAGCCCCAGCTGTCACATGGTGGGTAACGCTCCCAGAGCAGCTGCTGTCCGTGTTCCCTGGGGACAAGGGACATGCCAGGCACTGCAGAGAGCCAAACTGCTAATCCAGACCAGGCTCCCCGCCAGCCCAGCTCTCCAGGGTCACACAGCAGCACCTGCACGGACCAGCAGCAAGCAATGGAACTGTCACCACGTTAGGATCATGCTTGAGATATTCAAATGCCAAAATTCCCAATTTAGTCACCTCACTCAGGGAAATGCTCAGAGTGCTACCATTAACACAGCCCACTGGGAAACTGAGGCAGAGAGCAAGCAGGGAATGTGCTGCAGGACAGCAGAGAGCCTTGATGGCAGGGAATCACACTGTCACTTCACATCTATCCAACTACAGGCTGTAAAGCCCACAAACRCCCTGCTCCAAGGTGCCAGTTTACTCCTGTTTGAGAAAACTCATTTTATCCTAAATGCCCTGGATTCAAAGAATTTTTCTTCAAGCTGATATCTAAAGAAAGGAATTTATTGTAGTTTAAAGCTCTTAAGGAAATACTCATCCAGGAAAACAATCCTCTCTGCAACCGGRAGGCTGGGCACAGAGCACCCTGCCCAGTTCCAGATTTATAAACCCACCCCTCTTCTAGGGCAGTGCCCTCCAATCTCCAGGCAAGCTCAGGTTCAAACTTCCCAGTCCAGACTTTGCCAAAGCGTCTTACATCCATGAAAATATCCAGCCCCTGGCTGCTGGATGCACCAAGGAGGCTACAGAAGCCAGTGCTCTGCCAGAACAACATGACCTGCACAGCTCCAGAGTTAACTTTTGTCCAGGAAAGCACTAAATGCCAGAGATAATTTAGTGCAATGATGTTTTTATTATCAAACCGCAGCCAAATGAATTGCATCACTTTCCAGGGGCAGTTTTCCCATTGATAGCAATGCCTGACACCATCCCAGCGCTTCTCTCTCCAGCTTTACAGGCTGCATGCTGAGAGCCATCCTGCTCTCAGGAAGCTAACAGTGGAAATCAGGCAGCATTAATAAATGGGATGAGTCTTGGAGAGGGATTTTCCATTTGGGTCTAACTCACTTCATGTCACTGTTACGAAAGCTTTACCACAGACCTGACTGGGAGCAGATTCCGACCCACAGCAAGCTCTGCCTTCCTCTACAGCAGCTTTTGCCAAGAAGCAGAAACAACCAAGAGGTGCTGCCGCATCCAATCCTGCTTCCAAGGGCTGCCAGGACCCTGGCAGGGAGTGGGATACTCCCCAGGCTGCTGCCTCAGCCAGTGCTGTCGCAGGTCGAGCTCCCCTCCCTCCTCTCCTGCAGCASCACAGCTCACTGATGGATTTGGGGGAACCTCCAGCCTCGGACCCTTGGAATCCGGCAGCACCGCAGCAAAACCAGATCTCAGTGGGCTCTCCCAGAGGACTGCTCAGGCCACAGGGAAGTTTTGCCAGAGCCAGGCACTCACCAGTCAGCCCAATCTTCTTCCGGCAGGTGAAGCAGCGGTTCTTCTTCGGTTTCGGTTTCTCCGAAGCCGTCTTGCCCTCAGCCGTGTTCTGGGRTATCTCAAGCAGGGTACCTGAAACAGAGGCAAGAGTTTTGCTGCCCTTCTTGTTAAACCACTCMTTTTATTACAGGAGCTGCTGGAGGCTCTGCTGACTCCTCATGTGCACAGTGCCTTGGCTGACATACCCCAAACKGTGAGATTTGCCTTGTTCTACCGAGGTCGCCACCTCACAGATTTCTCTCTGTTTCAAATGCCTTAAATCCAAGGCTGGAGTGGCCACTGGACAGTGGATACTCACTACAGCTCAGCTGCTGTACAGCAACACAGCTGTCAGCTGAGCCCACAGTTAATCCTTGCAGGGAGGAAAAAAAAAAGTTAACCCCTTGTAAGTATTACTAATTATTTTTGCTGATTCTTATGTAAGTGTTCCCCATATGTAGGTCTCAGAATGCTTTACACAGATATCCATCACTCCCTCTAATCTACCAAAGGGAAAACTGAGCTCTCAAAGCCAGATTGTTAAAGGTCACTGATGCTTAGCAGGATTTCCTCCAATACCTAAGCAGGTTAGAGAAGCCAACAGGAGGGAGGAGCTCCGACTGCTCRCTGGAGCACCTGCAGTGCAGGCTGCTCTGAGGAGACAAAATAGAGACAGCTCTGTAGAGCTGACCCTAAACAGCCTCCTAAAAATCATACAGGCAGAAGAAAGGGGCAGGCTCTTCCAAGCCTCTTTTTCACTGCAGCCTCTCACCTGCCTGTTGTAAATYGTCTCCTGGGCTTGCAGGCAAGGGATGACCAAACCCAAAATGCCCGGTCATATGTGGTGACTAGAGCCTGGCTTTTTAGCAATCAGCAGCTCCTGGGCTTTTTTAGCTTCCAATGCAAGCAAGCTGTCAGCTGAGCAAAGGAGGCTGTCTGYGTGCAGGATCACCTGCTGAAGGCATCAGCTGGAGGATGTGCCACGCTGGGCAACGACTCCAATCACATCAGGGCACCCACTSCGTAACACCCCCTCGAGGGACAGGTGCCCCCATCACACGGGGTGACAACAAGAGGCCTCCACTGCCCCCAGGCTCTGTCACAAACGAGTCTCCTCTCTCCAAGACTCTGGTGGATCCGTCCCCCTTCCTCCCCCTCTGGAGCTGGCAGGGGAGTGCCGCCAGCAGCAGCCGCGTCAGGCTGTGGGACGCTCCGGGCTCGCTGCCATTCACGGCAGAGGCGTCATGGAAGATTATCCTCCTGCCAGCCACTCGAGGGCTGGCAGCCACTCAGCCCTCAGCCCACAGAGCAATCTCTATCGGCCTGCCCTCAGGCACAGCATTTGCTCTCCTCCCTGTCACCAAAACAAGAGTTTCCTCCTCAGCTCTCAGGTGTGCCTTTACTGCCGGGAGGGGACACACCCCGGGCTCAGCAGCTGTCCCTGCTGCTCCAATGCACTCCAGAGCTTGGTGTCACTCAAACCTGTGCAAAGGCCAAACCAACCACCCTACCTGAYGAGGAAGAAGCTGAAGAGGCTTCGTCTGTCTTGCTGAATTCCTCTGTCTCATTGCTGGTTTCCTCTCTGGATATGCTCATGGCTGTCATCTGATGGGTCACAGGAGTCTGAGCGCTGTGAGCATGTGCAGCAGACAAACAAAAAAGAGAAAACACAAGTATTTTCTTTTGATGGACAGTTACGTGGGAGAGGCCTTCAGCCCATAAAGTTTATTTCCTTATATTCAAAAGTAGGTCAGGAATACAACAGGTCAATTCCCCTTGAGATCTGGGATCAAAGTTCTTTATAGACATAAATGGAATGAATCTGTGATGACCTCAGTTTCCTTTTCCACCCAACTATATCTCAAAGCCAAGGCAAGAGCCCATCCAAACAAGTCCAGGGGCAGGGAAACAAAGTTATGAGTCAGGGCTGTAATGTGATGGTAAAGCTCAGTGCAGYTCTGTCCTCCTTCCCATCAAACAGGGCCAAGGTCTCTAATCCTGCTGTCACAGCTTTCAGACTGGATCATGAGCAGGTGCTTTCACTTAGAATCACAGGATATCCTGAGTTAATGATCCTTTAGAGTTCCTGCCAAGTCCAACTCCTGGCCCTGTAGGAAAGTCCCAAAAAATCCCACTGCTTGGGACTGATCAGAAACGGAATGGTTGAACAGAGCAAATGATAGACAAGGTGCATTGGCTGCAGGAGAACCAAGGTGTCTCTTAATTTACTACTAACCCTCTGGTACCTCACTCTACACATCAGTCATCTTCATTAGGAACATTGCAATCTTCCAAATAAACCAGGGTCACAATGCAGAGTTTGATCCAGCCATGTGAAGGACACAGCCTTGTGTCCCAGAGCTGGATTTGAGCAGGGTTTAGATCCCCTCCCCTCCAGAGCCTGCCCCTACCTGGCTTTCACATCCTCAGGTGTGGAGTCTCCCTCCACGTGCTGCCCTGCGATTGCCTCGGAAGCCATGGGGCTGCTGCTGGGACCACTGGGTGCTACAAAACAAGAGCAGGCTTGGTCAAGTCTCTGAGAAATGTCAGCAAGTTCCTCAAGTGCTTGACAGCCAAGGAGAAAGCAGAATGAGCACTTCCAGCAGGTTTTAAACCCCTGTTCCCCACAGAAACTGGGAAGGCTCACCCCTGTTGGGATCACTCCCATACCCCTATTCCTACACTGTCCCCTCCAAATTTGTGCAAGGGACTCTGTGGGGTTAACACTCCAGGGCTGTCTGGATCTGGAACCCAACGCCACTGCAACTTCTCCAAGGTGTAAGAACCAGATCCTGATCTGCTGAGAGGAACCAGCTTCAACAGACACATGGGGGTTTGTGTCAGCTAAGCATCTAAGATGGGGTTTTAGGAAAACCCTTTGTCAGGGAAGGTCACATTCCTGACCATATTTTGAGTGGGTGACTCAAGGAAAACCATGATTACTCTCAGGAATAAACTGGGGAAGAGCTCTCGAAGGCATTTCTCGCTGCAAAGTCTGTACATAGGGCATCTGCACAAACCACCAGCAAAAGAAACCCCTGCTCATGTTGCAGAGAGCATCCTTCTGCTCCCATCCCAACTGCAGGAAACAAACCATCTAAGCCATGGCTTTTGTGTGTCAACACTGTTAAGATAAGAAAATTAYACTAAGAGGCCAAATAAAATTTCATTGTGGGGTTTTGTCATGGTTCCCAGCAGTCAGTGCATAACTCAGGGAGCAGGAAATAGCTAAAAGCTGGGATCACCATTCACAAAGGAAGTTTTACAGTTTACTGGAAGGTGCTGACTGGGATGGGGCTTCACAAACTGGTTAGACTGGGAAGAAAAGAACTGCCCCTCCTGACAGGGAACAGAAGTGCTTGAGGGTTCAGGTCCTCGATTCAGAGCCTTGGGTATCCATGGAAAGGAAATGATGATTGTTCTAGGAATGGGTAAATCTGCTGGTGCCCAGGTACCAGCGCCATGCTCTATCCCACTTGCTGAACACAGTTTACAWCCAGACACCCATTTAAAACAAATTTCCAGAAAAAAAAAATCCTCTACCTGGAGGGYTTATCCGGTCACTGCTCTGCTGCCTCTGCAGGAACTCCTTGTAGCACACGGAGCACATGCCGTTGGTCCGGGGGCTGCCATAGAAGCCGCAGCCCGTGGTACACAGCAGAGGCACCTGCGTCTGGTTTGTCTCCTGAGCCATCCTCGCTCCTCCCAGGCACCGAGCTACAGGCAGGAATCAAAAATAAACCCAGGACAGCTGTGAGGGCCGGAGCGCTCGGGCATTGTGCGCTGCAGCTGATCAGGAAGGAGCACAAAGGATCCTGAGAGAGCCTGGTTCCTGCACGTGCACAAAGAGCACTTGGGGCTCCTAAAATTCATGTCCTGGGGCCCTGAGCCACCCAGAGCTCGGCTGCCATGAGCAGCCCAGAGCCAGCCTGGAAAACTAACAGGATTTCCCTCCGGCAGCACGAGGCTCCCTAAAGTCCCGGTGACAGACGGGCACATCAGACCYGAACAATCCACTCTCCACCAGCACAAGATGTGCCCCCACAGCACTACTAATGCCCCCYRTGAACACCCACACCTCAAATGCTCYGTGCAGGCCCAGTCAGTCACATTTGGGTTTTTATTTAAGGCCTGGTTTAGTTTTATAATTCTCAGGAAGATGACGCAAGCGATGCAAAAAGAACCCACTGACGCTCTGTACTGACATACGTGGGTAAGGGGAATGTTAGCATGGTTAGGCTGGAAATAAGGAGAACSTTTTCTTTCCAGCAGTAAGACGTGATTCCAGAACACCTTCCCAGGGAAAACAGCTGACACAGTGAAACCTAATTTTAAATTTAATYTTAATAATTTCTCTCTGGATCACATGCAGTTACCTCCAACCCCAGGAATAGGCCCCTTCCAGCCACACATGGTGTAGCATTTACAGGGCCAAACCCACCGCAGCGCTCCAAATGAGAACCATGAGGCACAAACAAAAACCACACACAATTCCAGTGAGTGTGGACAACGTGGCTGCGGCCAGTTCAGCTCTGACACAGAACAAGGGCAGAGGGTGCGTGCAGGACCATGGTGGGTGCAGGTGGCTCCAGCTCGGGCACAAAGCCACGGCGTTGGTACCAGGAGCCCCCAGCAGCACTGCCTTTGTGGGATGCACAAAGTACCCACCACCTCCCAGCCAGCTCGGCCACTTCCTTTCCTGCTCCTACAAACTTGCTTCACCAAAAGAATAAATCAGAACACGAAATCATTACCCTGCCAGGAGCGCTCCCGTGGGACGGAACCGGGTCACCTCTGGTTTATTCCTCCTCGTCCCAGCTGGGGGATGCGGGTTTGGGCTCCGCACCCGGGGGTCTCTCGCAGAGCTCAGACCAGCGCTCCCATCTCCGCACCGCGATCCTCCCGGCCCGAACCGGCCTCTCCTCGGCCACCCGCAGCCAGGGCAGCGGTGGATCCCTCGGGGTTCCCGGCCGGCGCCCGCTGCCACACGGACAAACCTTGGGGAGCTGCTGTCGATCGAGCGTCCCTGCAGAGAGAGGGGGCCGCAGGCTCAGCCCTCCCCGAGCGCCGCAGGCCCAGCCGGCCGGACGGGCCGAGCCGCAGCCCCCGCCGTGCCCGGGC